GAGAAGCCTTCCTGCTCCTCTGATGCTGCTTGGCCTGCTGTGTTCATCCAGCTCTACACCTTGTTATCTCAGATTCTCCAGCATCTGCAGTTCCTACTATCTCTGTATCCTCTGTCATGTTGTGTGGCATTAAAAGGTAAAGTCACCATTGTTCCAGTGGACCATAAGGCTGCTTTCTCAATAGGAAAGAGAGGTGACCGGTGATGGTTTAATCTGATGGTCACCATGCTTCAGGTGAGGGGAAGAGATTGAGGAGAGTCCTTCATGTTAACCTCAAATGTCAACATTACTGTGCATCGCAAACCAACCATCCAGCCAAATGAGCTAACCGACCCTCCTATGTGACATTACTGCTTGCTAAATGGGATATAGTCATACAGCACAGAAACAGAATAGTCCCACCTGCCTGCTTCTGGCCATATCCCTCCAAACCTTTCCAATTCACATACTTATCCAAATGTCTTTTAAATGTTGTAATTGTACCCACATCCAGCACTTCCTCAGGAAGTTCATTCCACATGCGAATCACCCTCTGTATAAAATTCGGAACCGATTCAGAAACTCAAAACTGAGTATTCATGAGGCACTGCGGGTCACCAGCAGCAGCTACCATAATCTGTAACATCATGGCCTGGCATATCCACGCTCTACTTTTGACAGGAGCAGCAGCAAGCATTCCGAAAAATTTAAGTGTCAACCTTGAGACTCTACAACATTGGGCTACTTGGGAACCAAACAGAGGAAACAGCATGTCATAAACAGAACTAAATGATCCCACAACCAATGGCTCTACTGTTCTGCCACCACTCATTTGCATATTACATAACTAAGACCCAGAGCAGGGTCCACAAATACCACCCTTGTTAATGATGCTCACACCTATAAAAATGACCAGGACAGTTACACCGACAGTGCATAGGCTGTTCATCTTCAAGTCACAATGAGGTATTAGGACTGTCAATTTTGTAAATGGTTACAACTTAAAATGTCTAGTCAATTTCAAAATAGAATGGAACTTGGGGTCTAATGCTAATTAGCATTTCTATCTGGATATAAGGCCCACATGATTCACAATGCCATGGAGATAATTTTTGAGAGGGAAAAGTCCATTAGAAGCCATTATATGATCAGATTACAGGTTTTTCTTAAAATATCAATGAACCTCACAGAGAGGAAAGTCTGCAAGATTCACAGAAACAGACAAAGAAGAAATATAGACACCAAATGTTTATTGTTCAGCATGCAACATACTGGTGGGAGCCCCCATGCTCGGCTTGAAGAGACCAAGTCCGTGAAAGTTGAAACAAAGCTGGAAGATTCACCTTGCTTTGTCTAGAGGAGGGGATCTGCAACTTAATCCTCAATGTGAAAGTCAGTCCAGGAAGTAGAAATTATGCAGTAGAGAATAACATTGTACTAACTCCTGGAGAATACAGAGATTAATTAAGGGACAGTGTAAAGTATAACTGTAAGGGTGATTTTCAGTTGGTTTATAGGTTAAATGGGGATCTTTCCTCTGGTCTGGAGTACATGCTATCTTCCGAAATAGTATTTAGTTGACGTGGACGCTTGAGTCACTTAGACATTGGTTGGAAGTCCCATTTCTTTTTTAAGGTCATCAGTTTCTATCAGGATTGGAAAAGATGGTGATCCTATGTTGATTGGCAGAATTGGATTTTCATGACACTCACCATAGGTGGTTTTTGAGGGACTCATTATCAGGAAAATACTTATTAATTATTTTCTAACATGGAGGCATTGTTAGGTATTCAATGCCAAGATTGAAAAGAAGGAACACTAGGCATGCCCCTTCAAGAAATAAAATTCATTGGTTTCACTGGAGGAACTGCAGGCTGCCTGATAAATTCAGGCAGAAACAAGTGTTCATTTTCACTGAACAACACAATTGTGAGGTGGCAGGCTGGACAGGAGCAATCACAGAAGTACATTATTCTGATGTTTCTGAGACGCAGCCAAATTGAACTAAAAGATTTTCTCTTTCAATTAGAGTGGTGTTGAATGGTGTCAAATCCATGCCTATCCCCATCAAGGTGGTTGTTGGAATTGATCATTTGGACAGCAGAACCACAAAACAACTCACGCATCCTCACCTCTGCCAGTCCATCGCACTGAACATGCGACTGAATCCACTCCAGTCGGTCAGAGTTTTCCTTCTCACGCACACCTTCATTCACCTGGGAACACAGCTCCTCTGCCCGCTCCAATGCCAGCTTTAAATGGTTATGGTCTGCATGGATCTCTGGAGTGTTTTCCAAAATCTGCAGTCATTGTACGAGAAATTACATTTTTGAATGTCAGATCTTCTAGTCAATGTCCTTCTTTGATACTATATTACCACAGACACAACTGTCAATCTTTCTTATTGGTGCACTAACAATCTTTTGTAGAGTAAGTATTCCTAGAAATATTCCATAGAAATTACCCTTGTATGATTCTTTTGTTATAAAATGAATGTGAAACTTACTTGTTGCTAATTTATTTTCCAAGTTGAAGTTGACTATCTAAGCATCAAAGTACTTCTGACTAAGTCCAAAGAGTTCTGATAAATTACAAATAGCAATTTTTCAGATTCAGAATATTGATGTACCCCAGATATGAGTAACTTAAGTCATCTGCTTAAAATGCAATTTGAAGAAAAATGTCAGCTTCCCTCCCTAAACCTGCACTTCAATGGGGGTCAATAGACATATGCATTATTACAAACATCAAAAGCTTATTATGTTCTTTGAGCCAATCACCTGCTCCTTGATATCAACCCATCTACCTATATTTTCAATCACTTTCCTTCTCTTACTGAAGTAACTCTTCAATCCACTTTTATTATTCACTTCAATTCAGTAACCTATTTTATAAGCCATCAACTTCTGTTTAAAAATGGATCTCACCTAACTTCGTTATTTATAAAGTTGTTGCTTTCTGGCACTTGTTTAGTTTGGATGCTGTATTTGTCATCTGTTTCTCTGGGTTGCAGCTACTCAATCTGGTGCCTTTATTTTGGGACAGAATAGTGGATCCACAAAAGCTGGGTGTATGACTCAGCCACTCCCATTAAGAGAGTGGATCCATCAGAGTAAATACTGGGTGTCAGCTCTTGAAAATGATTTTGTTTTTATTCATTCATGGAATGAGGCCATCGCTTGCTAGGCCGGCATTTATTACCCATCCCTAATTGCTCAGAGGGCAGGTTATAGTCCATCACATTGCTGTGGATCTGGAGTCACGTGTAGGCCAGACTAGGTAAAGATAACAATTTCCTTTCCTGAAGGACATTAGCCAACAGATGGGTTTTTATGACAATCAACAATGGTTTCATGGTCTTCATTAGACTCCAAAGTCCAGATTTTTATGGAATTCAAATTCCACCATCTGCCACTGCAGGATTTGAACCTGGGTCCCTAGAAGATTACCTAGGTCACTGGAATAAAAGTCTAGCAATAATACCACTAGGCAATCACCTCCTCACTTATATATGGATAAGTGAATCTTATAGAATGGGAATGAAGTAAATATCAAAAAAAGAAGTTAGTTTAACTTGTGTCCTTGGATTGGACATGGTTCTGCTGCTGAAGTCAAATAGTGTTATCGAAAGTAAACTTTCTTAATACACAAATCTCAAATGTGGTTTAATAGCAATTAAAGATGTAAACAGTTACAATAATTAACAGCTTTTGAAGCACAGTGTAAAGTGCTGAAAGACAAAGTCTATTAATTTATTTTGCACCATTCGGAGTTACAAGAATGGACTTACATTTTTAATAATAAGTGGATAACGTGTAATTCTTTGCATTGGCTTCAATAAGAAGCTGGATAGTGGCATTCCTTTACATCGAGGGTCAGAAGCCAATTTCTGAGGAGAAAAGTTAAAAAGTTACTGAAAAATATCAACACTCTAGTTATTTGTTATGTCATAAACTGCATTGCTTAAATGAAACAGAGAAACTAGGAGCAGGAGTGGGCCATTCAGTCCTGCAAGACTGGTCTGCCATTAATACCTGATCTTCTATCTCAATGTCATGCTCCTGCTTTCTCCCCATATTGCTTGAGGCCTTTAAAATCTGAAAAAAACCTGTCCCTTTCTTGAATATATTCAGTGATTTAGCCACTACGGCCTCTGTGGTAGAGAATTCCACAGGTTCACTACCCTTGGAGTGAGGAAGTTTATCCTCATCTCAGTCCTAAATGGTCTACCCCTTATCCTGTGACTGTAACCCATGATTCAGGACTCCACAAAACAGGGAAAAGATCCTTCCTACATCTAGCCTGTCCAGTCCCATTAGAATTTTGTACACTTCAATCAGAAACTTTCTCATCCTTCTCACCTCCAGGTAACACAGGCCCAATTAAACCAATCTCTCTTCATAGGACCCCTGATATTAGACTAGGGATCCTTTGTTGCATTCCCTCTATGGAAAGTATATCCTTTTTTAGGGAGGGAGGTGCAATACTCCAGGCATGATTCCACCAATCCCATTGTATGATCCCACCAAAGCCCTGTACAACTGCAGTAAGACATCCCTACTTCTGAACTCAAAATCCCTTGAAATGAAGGCTAATATACCATTTGCCTTTCTAATTGCTTGCTGCACATGGCTCTTCATTGACTAATTATAAGAACAAGTGTGTAACTTCACATTTAACCACACTGTACTGCCATTGTTTGCCCATGCAATTTGTTGAAAACATCTTGAAGTCTCCTTTATCTTCCTCACAACTCTCAATCCCACCCAGTTTTGTGTTGTCAGCAAACTCGGAAATGTTGCATTTGGTTGTGTTCTGAAAAGGACAGAAGGAGTCTATAAAGGGACATAGATAGGCGAAGTGAGTGGGCAAAGATCTGGCAAATGGACTACAATGTGAGAAAGTGTGACATTATCCACTTTGGCAGAAACAATAAAAAGCATATCATCTAAATGATGATAGGTTGCAGAGCTGAGATGCAGAAAAATCTGGGTTTCCTAGCATGTGCATGTTGGCATACAAAAATAATGTTTGCATGAGCATGATACTGGAAGACTGAGAATGGAGAGATGATGACACAACGGCATTGGACTAATAATCCAGAGGCTACAGATGCTGCCAGACCAGCTGAGTTTTTCACGTTCTCTGTTTGTTTCAGATTTCCAGTATCAGCAGTATTTCGCTTTCATAAAGGTATTTCAGCAGTCTAATTTTAAAGTTCACTAATTGCTTATAGGCAAGAAAGCATAATACTCCCCTGGGACTTAGATGCCAAAATTTAACTTTAATATGGGCTGGTAAACCAGGCTTGCAATTGCTACATAAAATATCTTGGAACTTCTTTCAAAGACAAAGAAAAATACTTTTTACAAACCTTAAGATAATCTTTAAAGTCTGGCTCTTCATCAGTTTTGTGCTGAAGGATAGCTGCACCATTTAGCTGACAGCTGCAAAACCGGATGTAGGCTTGCATGTGTGACAGCTCTGTAGCTAAGATATCTCCAATCATCTGCACTGGCATCTTCTCCCCACCAGTCTTCTTCCTCACACGAAGTGCCCTAGAACCAAGGTTAACAAGAGTCTGGCATTCATCGTATAACCCAAGCTAAACATGGCATGGATTCAATGGACTGATTGGCCTCCTGTTGTGTCACGATGATACAATGACTTTAAACAAAGCAGAAACATTAACTTAAAAAAAGAAATAAAATCTTGGTTTTGGGCTAACCACATTTTAAAAAGCCTTATCTGGAAATCTTTGATCCTTTCTGATCCTGCGTGGAACATGGCAAATTCCTGCTAAAGTCTCTACTTCAGAGACAAGATCTCCCGGTGCTCCATGCAAATGTGATGCTCATGAATATACCGTGAATTCATGATGGCTCTTACATCTCTATCCATGAATGTCATGAGGGTTCCGGTATTACAAATCCTCTGTGTCTAAATTGAAATGTTATATTGAATGGAATTTTCGTGGCTAGAATTAATACTTTATTTCCCTATTCACACGTGTTTAGCTCCAATTGAAATCTTGCTGGGGTTGACCATAACCACTTGCAGCATGACCATCAGGCTATTCCACTGTGAGAACAAGTTATGTTCTCTTACAACAGGGTGGGGAGAGGGCGGTGGTGGTGGTGGTGGCGGCTAACAAAGAGACCCTTGGAGTGCAGATTCATAGTTCCTTGCAAGTGGAGTCACAGGTAGACTGGTTAGTGATGAAGGCGTTAGGTACGCTTGCCCTTACTGGTCAGTGCATTGAGTATAGGAGTTGGGAGGTTATGTTGCGGCTGCACAGGACATTGGTTAGGCCATTTTTGGAATACCACTTTCAATTCTGGTGTCCCTGCTGTAGGAAGGATGTTGTTAAAAGGTTAAAAAAAAATTACAAGGATGTTGCCAGGATTGAAGAGTGACCTTATAGATGTTTATAAAATCTTGAGGAGCATGGATAGGGTGAATGGTCAAGGTCTTTTCCACAGAGTACGGGAGTCCAAAACTCGAGGGCGTAGGTTTAAGGTGAGAGGGGAAAGATGTAAAAGGGACCTAAGGGGGAACCTTTTCACACAGAGGGTGATGAGTGTATGGAATGAGCTGCCAGAGGAGGAGAAGGACGCTGGTATAGTTACAACATTTAAAAGGCGTCTGAATGGGTATATGAACAGGAAAGGTTTAAGAGGGATATTGGCAAAATGCTGGCAAATAAGACTAGATTAATTTAGTATATCTGGTCGGCATGGATGAGTTGGACCGCAAGGTCTGCTTCCATGTTGTACAACTCTATGACATTACCACCACACTACTGCATCTCCTGATTACTGACTGTATGCACAGCAGAAACTCAAGGCCAATAATTCTAACAGCATGAAAGAGTTATTGCTCTAATTAGTAAAATGTTCATGACTCTACATCAAAGAACACACTCCATAATGAAAAGGAAGGCATGACTTGAACAAGACAAGACTCTCTGGCCAAAAACACTTGCACGCTTACTTGTACAGCTTGGTGTTGGACATAATGAGTTCTTTCCAGTTCACAAAGATTGTTCCCAGCTCAGCTTCTGTCATAAGCCTGGATTCAGCCATTTGTTTCTGAAAAACCTACAAAAGGAATATCCAAATACATACTTCAAGCACACAAGCAAAGTTTAACTTTGAAGGGATCAAATTCCTCTTTGATCATGTAACTCTTCACTTCTTCCAGTAAATAAAAACAGATGCCCACCCTCACAAAAAATAACATTTCAATTTGCAATTCGAGAGATGATTATTTTGAGTAAAAGCAGACTGGCACTACACAATGATGTTTGATTGCAAAATGATATAACAGTGAACTTGGCAATTAAAATCATTCCTTCATTTAGCTGCTTTAATCAACTAGTTTGTTACATGGAATTCCTCTATTTGACTGTGTGCCATCCTCAGATGAGAGAGAGTTGCTGCCTGGCTTCTCAGTTTTAAGCTGCTGCAGGCAAGTCATTGAAAACTTTTGGATTTTTCCCTTCTTTTGTTCCTTTCCTGCAAGTATTACTGTCCAGATATTATTCAATATTCTTACAAAACAGTATGGTTGAACTGTACTCGACACTCAACACAGTTGTGGAACATGCACTCAAGCTTCAGAATGACTCTTTGCTTAAATTATTATAAAATATATTGGTTATTCAGTTCAGTCAGTGCTTACCTCTAAAACCAGCTGCAAATCATCCATGTACCTCTCTTCAGTCTGAATCAGTTCATGGATATAACCCTGACGTTTTCTTTCTATAGGTAGCATGGTATCAAGGGACTGGAGGTCAGCACACCCTGCAGGGTTAAGAGATTATTATTGACTAAATTGCATGCATCAATTCAATGTCCAAAAACATTTTATAAAGTTCAAAAGCATTTTATAAAGTTCAGAAGCTACCAACAAAATCTATTTACTTGTGTTATCATATTTTTAATTTGAGGGATCTTTTCAAAATATAATGATCAACTTAAAAAAAATTGCTCCTGCAGCTGATTGTTCGTCTTCACAGGGATTGCAAGAATGTATTTTCCAATTTATCATCCACTTTAGAAAAATGAACTAAAGAAAATAACAATTGCTTTATTCTGTTAATCCTTTTCTGAATAATTATTTTGAACGATTAGACAGTGCTCTAACATTTGGATTTTTAGCTCACAAGGAGCTGTTGGATAGACAGAAAAACCCATCTCGTTTGTTCGTGCACCTCAGGGAAGGAAACCTAACATTCTTATCAGACATGGTTGATAATTGACTGAAATCTCACGCCAAAGAGTTTGACTCTTACTTTCTGTCAGAAGTGGTGTCACAAGCCACTGAGTACCACAAAATCTTTACAAAGATACTGCAGCACTTCAACGCAGATCATAAAAAGCAGGAGCAGACGATTCAATGCTTCAACAAAATCATTTCTGACGTAATGTGGCCTTAACTCGGTCTTCCTGTTCTCTGTTCAATCCCCTGTAGGTCAAAAATTCATCTAACGCAGCCTTCAATATATTCAATGACCCAGCTTCTACTGCTTTTGGGAACAGACTTTTAAAGATTAACAACGCTCAGAGAAAATTCCACTTTATCTCTAACTTAAATGGGAGACACCTTAAAGTGCATTCCCCAGTTTTACAGTCCCACGAGTGACAACATCCTCTCAGCATCCACCCTGTCAAGCAAGCTCCTTCTGAATCTTAAATGTTTCAACAAGATAACCTCTCTGTCTTCTAAATTCTAATGTAAGCCTAACCTGCTAAACCTTTCCTCAAATAAAACCGCTTCATCACAAGAATTGGCCAAGCGAACCTACACTCAACTGATTCAAATGCAAGTGTACCTCTTCTTAAGGAGACCAAAATTGTCCGAATCATTACATATATCATAAATTTATGGATGAAGGTCCCCATCACTGATCCCTGTGGCAGTTCATTATGTAAAGGTCGAGAATCCTGACCAGCTGTTTCCCGTCTGTTGGCCAATCCTCTATGCATGGCAATACACCGTCCGAACACCACAACCTCTTAACTTTTATGTGTCGCCTAATTGAATTCTTTTATAAATCTAAATACAATACTGACATTCCTTTATTCACCTTGCCTGTTACATCCTCAAACCAGCTTCTCAAAGCAACTAGCGATCAGTGATAAGTTCTGTATTGTCAGCAAAACTCACATTATGAGAATAACTTTATCCTTCACAAGACATACAAACTGAGCCTGTTCCATCATTTGATAAAAACACAACCAATCTGATAACTCCACATTCTCATTTTCCCATTAACCTTCTGCCCCCTTGCTATTGTTATTGCACTTTGAGGAAGAGAGTTTCAAATATTTGTGACCTTCTCGTACAAAAAGTTTTGCATCTATCGTAAATGTCCTTATGCCCTTTCTACAACATTTATAGCTTTGTGTCATCAGCAAATTTAGTGATCATACTTTCAGACCTTTTATAAATTGTAAAAAAAAACTGAACCCTGCAGCACACCACTCATTACATTTCGCCAATCAGAAAATGACCCACTCCAGAAAGTGCTAATCTGTTTTCTGTTGGCTGGTCAATCCTCTATCCATGCCAATACACTATTCCTACACCATAAGCTTTTGTTTTCTTCAATAACTTTATCAAATGCTTTTCAAAATGTACAGTATATCCACAAGTTTTCCTTTATCTACAATCCGTTCCTTCCTCAGAGAATTCCACTAAATTGCTTAAACACAATTTTCACAGAATCAAAGACATTTTGAAGCCTTCCACTAAAACAATGGCTTTGGATCCCAAAGTAATACTTAAAGGCCATTCTTTAGAGCTAATGGTTTACAGTGCATGAATGAGTCAAATTCTATTTTTATTAGATGCTACTTCACGATTTTTACTGGTATTTTGCATTCTTAGTTCCCCCTATTCACCACTAAAACTGTAAAGTAGTGCTGCAAATATCTTTGCCATTTTATTTGGTAATTTTGGCTCTCACCGTTTATGGAGACATTATAGAGGGCCCCGTTATTGAGCATGCTGTATTTCATAAGCACCCTGTTAAACTATGAGATATCTTTTCACCCCAAATAATTTCTGTCCCCTCTTAAACAATGCAGCAAAGGCCAGCAAATGCATGTGCTGGAGGTAGCCTGCATGCAGACACCTATTAGTCATTGTTCTTGTTCACCCAGTCCTTGTGCTATCACAGAAAAGCTGCAAATTAACCTGCAAATGGAACATACCAGAAGGTTCAGGGCAAAGCCTCTTTTGACTTGAAGATTTTTTCAAATTCTCTCAAGGGAAAACACTTTAACTACAGGCTGGAAAGATCAAAGGTGACCCAAATCAATATTTTTGTGCTTTTGTAAATAGGTGGAGAATTGTTTTATGTCTAGAGTCTAAAAGGATGAGATATAAAGTAATAAAACCTGCATACTTTCCCGGTTTGCGCAACTCTCAAAGGAGGAGATTTTGCAGAACTGCCTATAAAATAGCTTCAAAGTATACTCTTTCCTTACTGTGAAATTGATAATGGAGTACTTATCCAGCACAGATCTCTGTTAGAATCAATACTCTGCGCATCGTAATATATAAATTTATTGTCAGTGATAACCAGTGGTAGGTCATGATCTCATTACATGGATTGAAAATGAGTAATTAGTCCAATTCCTACTTAGACTGATAAGATAAATTTCATCTAATACTTGCATGAACTATTACCAAAGATGATATAGAATTTGCAGAAAATCTAAACTTGGCAGTTTTTGAAAAATAAGTAATGTGCCACATGAGAATGATCCAAGGTTAGATTTCCATCTCTACTAAAAAGACATGGTTTAGTAAATAGTCATTAGTGGGACAAAATAAATAAACATATTGTGTTGAAGGAATCTAAGCAATCAAAACTGAATATTTCAAAGATTCGTATTTGGCATTTTTAAGTTATTATAGTTGCCATTTGTCACTGGATAGAACCAAATATCAAGATGACACACTGCAACATGCCATGAACAGTCAGTGTTCATGTTTAATTTGCTCCTCAATACCAGTAATTACAAACTGAGCACATAATCAAAACTGTCATCATAGAAGCCAACTCCTCACATGACTATGAAGATTTATTTTGATACACAAAATATTTCCTTTGTCTCATTATCGTGATGGAAAGATGAACACTCTGAATTCACTAGATATCAAAATGATTACAATAAGACAGACATTTAGCACATCTTAATTCTTCCATTCAAAAAGACTACATAATCTCCAATTGCAGTATCTAACTGCTGTTTAAATGATTTTAAGTGTTCACCTCCACCACTCTGTCTGGAAGTGTAATCCACATGCAGGTCACCTAGTGTTAAGAACTTTGTGATACTAATTTTAGAATTATCCTCCACTAAAGCAGTTTCCCCTTGTGCTGAAATCACAATAATTTGAAGCAATGTGTTCATTTCCCCATCTAATATTATTTACAAGACTATTTCTCAAATACCACTTTTCCAGACTGAAAAACTATCATTTTTCCAGTTGCTCTTCATAGTACAAACCTTTTATTATTTCAGATCAGTCATGAGATTCTTCTCTGTTGCTTCCAATGCTACATGGCACTCTCACAGTTTGGTGATCGGAACTGGGCATAATATTAAAGTCTAAATATTACTGATGCAAATGTAAATCATCGACTGATCTGAACAGAAAGCCATGAACTCCTCAGTATTACCACAGAGCTATTCTTACTTTCTAGACAATGTGCCTGTGTCGTTTAGATCAAGTGACATGGTGAGGCTGTTCATTCATTTGAAAATAAGACAACTCAACAAATAAACAATTGCTATTTAAATGTTTTGATTTGAACTGTTACAAATATCATGATATAAAAAAATCTTAAACTCTGTATCTCAATACTTACTTTTTATTGTGATAATCTTTGATTAAAATTACCACTTCAAAATTACTACAAGGCATGATTATTCTTTCAGTGTTCCAGATTCAATGACTTCCATGTGTGAAACAATCGACTAGTATCTTTAAAGTCAATTGCTTAGTTTAATTGCATGTTTTGCACTTTAAATAAACTAATATTTTTAACAAAAAAACCAATTGTTATCAGCTGATTTACTTTAACTTGGGCATGTGTTCATTTAGCATTTTTTAAAATTTCTATCGGTAAGAAATATTTCATATTTCACATTCAAACAGAACTGTTCAGGTACAAATTCACCTTACATTTTCTCAGTTTTCAGATACTGAGGTTTACATGTTAAGGTAAATGTTGGGTACTCTGCAACAAGTGCCTCACCTTATGACTCCTCAAAGCCTCATCATTAATGAGATTCATATCAGGGACATCAGGGTGTTCTGAAGAAGGACCCAAAATGTTAATTCTGCTTTCTCTCCACAGATGCTGCTAGACCTGCCGAGCTTTTCCAGCAATTTCCATCTGTGTTTCACATCAGGGACATTATGGAAATTGTTAACACTTGCCTGGAAGGATGAAGTCGTGACATCCAGGAATGTCAAAGTCATTTGGGACAATCTATTTGCCTTTTCAGTATCCCTACCTCTTATCTGTGCATCCTACACCTGCACCATAATATGCTTGTGGAAGGTATGACTTGTAGCACTGTAATAGATCACAACTAATTTGACAGAACCACCTTAATCTTCTTATGCAGTCCCTCAGATGGAAGATGACTAGAGTTGTGGGCCCTGCGGTGACTAAATAGTCAAATACTGGATTCGCACACTTTGGGGCAGGTGGTGTAAGGTGAGGTGGGTGGATGGTACACTTAGTTTTTCAGACATTTGCCTCTGTCTGGGCTTGTTAGAATGCACAAAATGCTTGGCATCTTCGTGAATGCTCCTCTTTCAGTTTAGGTGGTCTTGTATAAGAAATTCCTTAAAAAATCCATTGGATGTTACATTTATTCAGAGAAGTTTTGAGGACAAGCTTGAAACATTTCCTCTATCCTCCTGGGAACTGCTTGCCATGATAAAGCTCAGAGTCAAGAGCTTGAACTGCAAGTCTAATGTTTGGCATGCAAACAATGTAGCCTGCCCAATGTCATTGACTGGGCAGAGGCAGTGCTTCAATGCTGCAGACATTGATCTGATATTGGAGCACTTATCCTGCCAGTGTGCTTGTAGGATTTTTCAGAGCCAGTACTGGTGATATTTCTTTAGCGATTTGAGGGTGGAATTTGAGTTTGATAAAAATTAAGAGTCTAATGATGACCATGAATCCATTGCCAATTGTCAGGAAGACCCATCTCGTTCACTGTCCTTTAGAGTGCAAAATTGGCATCCTTACCCTGTCTGGCCTACATGTGACTCCAGACCCTCTTGTTGTGAAGTGCAATGTCCTCTATATCTTTGATGGAAAGATTCCACATTGTGACTCCAGGAGCTTTTCAGTTACTGGGAGCAGCGATTGAGGAGGACATTTGAAATGACCTCCCTGTGGTAGACAGCATACAGACCCTTCTGTAGTTACCCCAATTGTGCTAGACTCCTACCTTGAAGATTTCACAACCACAGCTTCTTACAGATCCTTGGTATTCTGTCCTCCTTCCAGGGGAGGGAAATGAGATGGAACATACAAACAAGAATGTTTGTGTCATATCCTAGTATTTGGCAAGAATTCCACCTGGGCTGGTTCTCAGCTGTTGAACGGCCTTTACAATCTCAAGTCGGGCTGGAGTTGAACTGAGATGGTGCCAAGCAACATGTTGTCAGATGAGATCAAGGGTACTCCACTAAAGGATTAAGTCTCTGTTGACAAAATTCTCAGAGTGTTCCTTCCAACAAGTGCTGGATGACTCTCTGTCCTTGATAATCATTATTTCATTAGCTTTCAGTGGCAGAAGCTCTTGGGCCACAGTCTTGACTGTACTAAAGAATCCATATACATCATGGCCAATGGTGAGTTGCTGGATTTCCTGAACTTTTTCCACCTATCATCTGTTATTTGGATCATGGGTATTTTGAAGGGCCTTGGACTTCATCTGTATATACACCTGCCTTCTTTCTGTCTATGCTTTTATGGTGCTTTTAACTTAGGAACACTTTGCACTTGCAATTTAGTAGCTCCTAGATCTCCTAATTGTTCTCGTCAAGCCAGTCCGTTACCTGGGAGAATCAAGGAATTTATGATGGATTTAAGGGCAGATCAGGTACTGTTGATATTTATTATTTCCTGTTCATAAATCTCTGGAAAGGCGTGATTAGCATGCAAGATGGACAGAAAGCAATCAGCAATGGGGTCCCCCTCCTAACAAAATAGCAATCACCCTATTTCATCAGAGAGACAAATGCAAGATTTCATAGCAAAACCCTTGCCCAAGTCTTGCTTGCCTATGTTATTGTTTGAGCGCAGGAGTGTAAAGATTTCCACATCACCCATGTCATGACAACTGCTGGTCTATTATCTCCATCAGCCTGGGCTAAAATAGCAGTGGCAGCAGGAAATTCAATACTGATGGACTCCAGGACACTGCAAAGAAATAGCTCCTCAGTCAGGGCCTCATAATCAACTTGGCAATGCTCAACGAATAGGAGCAACAGAATGTCAACAGAAGCTTCATTCCTCTGACCTCTTGAAAATAAGAAAAATGAGTAGCTAATCAACGCAATGGGAAGGCAAGGAATGTGATGTTTCAAATCACACACTATTCTGGCTTGGACACATAATATTTTTGGCATCACTTAATATCTACTTTATCTAATATCGTAACAGGAGCGATATTGGCAGAAGGACCTCACTGGTAAAGGGGGGCCTAACTTTCTCAGGAAATTTAGGATGGAAAATAAATGCTAACCTTAGCCATATCTTAAGAACAAATATAGGAAGCATTAACGTAGATCTATTTTTGTTGAGTACATCAGATTTCCTCAGGTTCAATGTCATTGGCGACTCCCGTAAGTTAATCAATATGTCTTTAGCTGTCTCTTATCTAGGTGAATGTGGTGATGGAAAGGTCAATGGAAAACATCACACAACCCCATGTTTTGTAGCAGAAGCTTTTATGTGAATAGATTTATTGAACATCAAATAGTGAATGAACTACAATCAGCACAAAACAAAGATCTAAACGTGCAGAGGCTTTAACCCCACGTTTGCAATACTCAACCAGAAACAGTCCATTAAATATTTAGTTCCATTGTAGGGTCTTTTTAAAATTACAATGTATCATACCAATTAACATGACCAATTCTTGAAACTGATACAGGGTTTCCCCCTTCACTTACATATGTTACAAAACCTATTGTGAATGCAACAGATTTTTGTCCCTTGCAAGCTCATGTTATCCACAATCCTAATAGATTTCAAAAACCTGTAAGTTTATTTGAATTTGCTTTCTCTTTTTAAAAAAAAAAGTAGAGGCATTCATTGAACAAAAACTATCGGGATACTGTCAAATTATGGCACGGTGGGGTGGTGGAAAGAAAAGATTTTCAATAAACTATGTTTTTACCACTTGGATAGAAAACCAGTAGAATGGATTTCAATGGAATCAAAATTAGGCAGTTTCCATAACTGGTATATGTTATAATCTGGTTTATAAGCAAGTGAAGGTGAAAATGATCTTTATTTTACAACATTTTAGTGTACTGTTGAGAGTGCTATTCAATGTTCAATCTTTTGGGGAAATATCTAAACTCAGGTTTGGCTCATTCTGTGCAGCTAGAGATGAAAGGCCCTATGATACAATTTGCTTAAGAGCAGAATTTTTTCCAATGCCTTGATCAAAAATTCACACCCTAACCAAACCACCAGAAACACATTCCCATTAGATTTCGCTGTAGCAGGATAACTATATTTTTTAGCTGGACTTATCCAAAACTTGCTCAAAACATTTTGGTGCACTCAGCTACTGAATCTTGCTGACAATGTTGAGCAAGAACAGAAAGAGTATTTGGAAAATGAAATGGTTGTGAAATCAAATTGGAAGCATTGAAAATAATGCTGGAAAGAGAGACACATGACCAAAGCTTTTCCTCTTGTACTCATCACAAACACAACAATGACAGATTTTAAATTATCAGAATGATTTACAATACAGGAGAAAAGACAGCTGATTTGGTTGGCAAGTTGACTCTGACCGCTTGAAGCACTGTCACAGATAAAGCACTGGGAAATACATCATCATCCTTTTGAGTAATTCAAAGAAGGTGCAAGATTTTAATATTACTTTTGTTTGCAGAGAATGGGTTCATGTGTGTGAATCTTAATGCTTTATCAAGCATAAATACGCCATGTCATGTGCTTGACTGATTACATCAGCATAGTTATTAGCGAACTTTAGATTGTTCAGCAAGAGCTGCCCAATTTCAGAATTTCATTTGTTTTGCAACCAAAATGTTTCAGTGTGCTCTATATTGCAAAATTATGAGACATAGGAGCAGACATAGGCCATTTGGGCCATCAAATCTGTTCCACCATTCAATGCAATCATTCTGATCTGATAATCCTCAACTCCACTTTCCTGCCCTATTCCTCATAACATTTGATTCCCTTTCTGACTAAAAATCTGTCTTGAAAATACTTAGTGACCCAGCTTCAACAGCCCTCTGCATAAAGAGTATCACAGATCCATTACTCAGAAGAAATTCCTCATCTCTAATTTGGCAACT